AGAGAGAGAGAGAGAGAGAGAGAGAGAGAGAGAGAGAGAGAGAGAGAATACATATGTATACTATCCATTGATTGTTTCAAGCTCCTGTTTGTCTTAAGTTCCCTCAATGATGAACCATGACCCAGAAGTGTAAACCACATGACTCATTTCCCACCCTAAGGTAATTTTGCTCATGGTGTTTGTCATAGAAACAGAAAGGAGACTAGAACAGCATGTTTTCAGGGTTCAGCTGACTGCATCACCTATCAGTAGTTCCTTCTACTCTCAAACAATACTCCATTCAATGAACATTTTACTTAAGCATTCCTCAGCTACGAGGCACGTGTTTCTACCTTATATCATAAATAATAATGCCATAAACCCTCCTTGCTACCTCCCTGCCCCTGCCAAGACAGGGTTTACTGTATAGCTCTAGCTGTCCTGGAACTCACTCTGTAGACCAGGCTGGCTTTGAACTCATAGATCCTTCTGCCTCTGCCTCCTGAGTATTGGGATTAAAGACATGTGCCACCACTGCCTAAGAACCCTGTTTTTAATTTCTCTTCTACCTATGCCATGGAGTAGAATTTCTGGCATATCATAACCATACTTAACCTTTAAGGGACAGCTAGACTAATAGTTGCAGCAATTTCTGTTCTCCACATTAGATTTCTCCACATAATCACTGAGTATCTTTTTCCCCATAGCGATAGCCATTCTACGAGTGTCAAGTGTTGTCTCATGGTGGAGTTTAATTTTATTTTTGTTGTTACTTTGATTTTTTTTTTGGTTGTGAGCCAAGCCTTTAACAGCTTAATCATCTCTCCAGTCCTTTTCATTATTTTGGGACAGGGTCTCCCTATGTAGCTCTGGCTAGCCTGGAACTTACAATGTAGACCAGGCTGACTTCAAACTCACAGAAATCTGCCTGCTTTTGCCTCAAAGTGCTGGGATCAAAGGTGCCACCATGCCATCCCATAGTGGTTTTAATTGTATTTCATGACTATGAAAGTTGAGCATCTCCTCATGCTGACTCAATGTCCTTCCCACTTTAAGTGTCCGCGCGCTTGAGCACTTATGCAAGCCAAGCATAGTGGTACAAAACATAATCACAGAGGCTAAGATGGCCCAAGGTCAGCCTGGGCTATGTACTGAGTACCAGACCCAGACAGGTATATATAGCAAGACTCTGTCTCAAAAAAAAAAAGAAAAAAAAAAAAGGAAAAAAAGGGAGGGGGCACTGGAGAAATAGTTTAGTTAGTAGAGTGCTTGACTACTATGATGGTTATCCATTTGATTGATTTAATCTAGAATCATCTAACAGACATGTTTCTGTAAGGGCATTTCTAGGAAAGGTTAACTAAGGAAGGAAAGATCTTGTCCCAAGCAGCCCTGATACAGAGGCCTGGGGGGTTGTGGGTAGGAACTGTGCTGCTTTGCCTGCTGACCTTCCCTCCTTGATGGCAAGTACATCTACCCTACTGTTGCTGCTGCTATCCTGCCCTGACATTGAAGACCAGGAGCTGTTCAGAAATCCTCAGGCTTTCAGTGCCAGAATAGGACTGCTCAAGCTGGCAGCCTGTGAACTGAGGTGGTACTGGGTTTTCAGCCTCTCTAGTGTGCAGATGGCTATTATTGAACTACCTGGACCCTATCATGTGAGCAGGTTAATCAATCTCTTTTCATCACATTCATTCTGTCAGTTCTTTGAACTCCAATACACCTACCACATACAAGTCCCCAGATTTCATCTCCAGCATGTCATAAACTAGATGTGGAGGTGCACATCTGTTATCCCAGCACCTTGGAGGTAGAGGCAAGAAGATATAAAAAAATTCTAGGTCATCCTTAGGTACACAGTAGGTTCAAGGTTCTCAACCTGACAGAAGTGGCCTCAGGGTTCCTGGACCCAGCCCCATGACTGCAGAACAAGTCTGTGGATGTCCCTCTGGCAAAGCATAGTCTGTCAGTTATGGCCCTTGGCATGGAGTAGGTGTCTATGTTTTCTTAATTGACTAAGAAAGTGAACAGACTGGAGATACAAGGAAACAAGCTGGGCTCTCAGACACTGGGTTGAACTGGAGTCTAATGCCCTACCAGTACCTCTGAAACATGACCACAGGTACAACTGGGAAGAACTGAATTCATCACAAGAAGAAATTCAATCTATACATGTTCAAGTTTTATTACAAAGTATGATGGGCAGAAAATATGGTACTTCTTATACAGGAGGCTGAAACAGAACAAAACTGTGAGATTAGACTTCACATACTAGGAAGTAAGGTCACAGAAGGAACACTCCACCCTCAGGTGCTTCTGAAGTCGCCTCCAGTGGAGAAACCGCAGCTCGTTCACAACACAGTGTTAAAATTTTATTACAAGCCCTGTATACAATCAGCCCTGTGAAAATAATATTTATAAAGAAGAAATGGTTACAGTACAGTTCTGCAAAGGGACAGCTTCCTCTCCACCTGAACAAGGGATGCCACAAAAGCTTTAGAACAGAAGGAAAGATTAAATATATAAGAAAGTAAGGTCATACACATGAGGCTGTAGAGAGCACAGAAATAGATCCATTAGAGCTTAACATTTTGTAGAACATGAAATCTCCATTTTCTACACAGAGGTTTATACAATCATGCTATAATTCACACTCAGGGTGAGGCAAGGGAAAGTCACTGACAGAGGGATCATAAAATACACAGCATCAAAGCAAGTGACTCATATTTGACTAAAGCTTCAGCTCAACAATTTTCATAACACATTGTACATCACAATCAGCCCAAGGCGAGAACATTTCTTTCAAATAGTAGATAGCACAGTCCGGCTTCACTGAGTTCTCTCAAAGGCGGGTGCTTGTACATTTTCCAGCTGTCATACAGACTGTCAACATCTTTCTTCTGGAGTTCAAGCTTCTCTTAGCTTATTGTTTCTGGCTGACACATTAGTCTAAGCCTCTTGGAGAAGGCATCTGCATGTTTCCACATTTAAAAAGTGACATCCAGATAACAACCCAAGAAGACCTGCTCATTCTGTAATGCCACATGCTTGACTCTGACCATTAGCAGCAATGACAGTATGGAAGAAAGAGAGAACATAGATGGCGTGAGGTGAACAAGATCAGAGACATTAGACACTCAGCTGCTGCCTCACTGGAGCAGAGAGGACAACTCTTGGGAAACCCTGGCTCAGGGTTCATTGTAACTGCTCAGATCAGCTCTCCTCTCAGAAAACCCAAATGCTCAATAGGCTCCGCATTCCTCATCCTGTGAGCAGGCTCTAAAGAAAACGTGTTTTGAGGCCTCTACTGCAATGGTACTCTAGCCTAAGCCAGGCAATCAAAGGAACTGCCACATTTTCACAATGGGAAAGTAGGGCACAGTTTTGGACTGCCCACCGTGTTTGGTAAACCCCAGAGCTCTACATTTTCTATGACCTAGGAATCTAGGGCCCAGGGTGCATCAGGGAGAACATTCTACAGTAGAAAGACAATAAGAAAGATGAAAAGGAAGGGGCTAGAGGGTGTGGTTCAGTGGTAGAACACTCGCCTAGCATGTGAGGGCCTGCGCTTGATCCCCATCACCACACACACAAAGCAGAAAGATGAAAAGGTTAGAGAAGATACAGGGAGAAGTGGATCTGGATGAAGAACCGTGGATGCTAGGGGCACATGCCTGTTAATCCCAGCACTCGGGGAGGCTGGAGTAAGAGGGCCCTCAGTTCAAGGACAGCCTAGTCTACAGTTAAAGAACCTGTCTCAAACAAATGAAACAAAACAGTGTTATCATGGACTGTGTCCGATACCTAGAATTTAACCACCAGACATTGCTTATAGCAGCCCTGCTGCAAGAAAGGGGCTCTGCCCCTAGCTGTCACTCTCCTGGTACCCAGTGACACAGAAGCTTCATTAATGGTGCAACCTAGGGTGAGGCACAGGTTTACTCCACAGCTATGAGACAATCTGAATGTTTCTCCCCTCAGATTCTTTGTGTTCTCTAGTATTTCCTTCTACTCTACCCGAAAATATCAAATTTTAGTTATAACAACCATCAAAACACTATAGGATTCTGCCTTTTTTCTGTTCTTCCTGAGCTGTCGCCAGTTATCTGACCTAATTCTGATTTTGATAGGAAGTCCCCACCCACCTGTCATGTGTCACGCTTCCTCAAGCTCTAGCCTTGCAGGTCTAGGAGAAAGATCAGTCTCCAGTGGGAAAAGTGCAAGCCCATGAAAGCCTCAGACCACTCACCAGTTCAGTTCTCTGCTAGTCTGACTGATCATGCAGCCTTCCATACAGCAGACACAGAAACCACAGGCCGGAGCCTCTAGCTTAGCTTGCCAAAACCACAGCAAAATAGCACTGTGACCAGACCAGAACCTGGAGCCTAGATCTGGAGATCTGACCCACCTCACTGTCAGTCTAAGAACTGGCAAATATTAACAGAGACTGGCTTTGAAACTTTAATAGCACTGTGCTTCAGGGAAGAGAGACTTATGGACTTTCTGCATCTCAGGGCTACAGACACCTCTTCCTCAGCTTCAGGGGCCATCTGTGCATACTATAGAGAGAGGGTGAGATAGCTGGCACTTCAAATGCCAGCAACCCTGCAGCTGTGGGTGCATGTATACTTGGAGATGGAGTCAGCAAGAGTCTCACCTAATCCAGATGGAGGGCAGAAGAGAAGACTGACGAAAGCTGACAAGAGTCCAAGGGAAAAATCATCACAAGTGGTTGGTTTCTAAAGCATATAGCTACCTCATACAAATGTATTCTAATAACTCCTGCTAACCTTTTAAAACTTTGTTTTCAAGTTCCAGTTGACAAATCTCATCATTCAGCCCAAGTTAAACCCCACCTATAACAAAGGTGCTCCCCAGCACAGGTGCTCCCCACATGCCCTGTGGCCACCCTGACTTCTACTGTAGACTCGGCCCAGGAAGAAATTGAGGGCTCCTACAGCAGCATCCATCAGCGAGCCTGCTACCCTTGAGGAGTCTTTACCTAGCTAGCGAATGCCACTAAGAGTAGAGGTAACCACAAACTGATACAGGGCAAGCCACAGGTTAGAGCAGGAACATTAACCTCAAGCATTTGGCCAGAGAGAGACCAGAATGACAGATTAGGAAGGCCAAGGAGAAATACTCTGACTGAAAAGGGCTTTCCTTTGGGGCAAGTCCCTATGTAATGAAGCTAAATCTACAACTTTTGGCAATCAACTATATCAGCTGTGGAAAAAAAGCAAAGACTCAGCCAGAGAGTCCATGTTCCCAGAAGAATCAGTCAACATTTACTTCTCCAGCAATGGCAAAACCATCCATTAGCTTTCAGGCTTGCCACTCTCCTCATACCGGAGCGTCTGAGAAACCTACAAGCAGCTCAGCAGAATATAAGCCAGGCACACTCTCCTAAACCATGCTCCAGACTCTGCCAGGGACTCATCTAAAGCCAGAACCACATATAAGTCCCCTCTGTGAAAGCCATACATGTAACGGAAACAGACACCAGAGGCCTGTAAGTCAGCATGGCCAACTGCAGCCTACAAAGTCCAATACTGTTCATAACCTTAACTGAGGTGAGGGCAAGTGCCACAGGTGTGGAGAATCTTAGACGGTTGACCCTGGGTCCACCACAGCTGACTAGTTCATCATTTATGAGAACTGCCTGTCTATCTAAAGATCTTGTTCAGGGTCAAGCACAGACGGTACCTCTTAGGAAATCTCTTATTTAGAGCACTCAATCCAAAAATGGGCCAGTATCCCACCAGGTAGAGGAAACTCAACAAACAGAAACACAGAAGCTTAGCTTAGAGCTCTCTCTTGCCTATTGTTCAAGTTCTAAACTGAAAAAATAGATTCTGAAACCAGGTACTGGAAACACAATATAAGTTCAGCTTTCCTGAAAACGATTCTCCCTCAGCATGGCCCCTAGTCAACTGCTTATCTCAGCCTCACAGGGTACTCAATTAGTGAAGCCAGAGAAAGGAACTTGAGGGTAGAACAGAAGCTTCTTGCTCTCCTGGGGCCTTTGAGGGCCTTTAGGAGACCCAGGCTGAGAAAAGGTTGGTGAGTCAGTAGACTTTAGAGCACCAGTGCAGTTGTCAACTCCTGGTCAGGGGTGTGCCCTGCAGGCAGTGACTCAGGAAAGCAAACTGCTCATGGGGTCTAGGGTCCAGTACCTACTGCAGGCACTGAGGGAAGAGAGGACGGTACAAAGAGGGAAACCTGTGAAATCAAGAAACCAAGAAGGTTAAATTCTTTTCATAAAAAAACTAGCCTGATAGATAAAAAACATACAAAGTTGAGGTTTGTTAAAAGACAATGGTGCCAGGAGGAAAGACAATCTCAAGTTGGCCTTTGTTCCCACTTAAGTGCTAGCACGACACAGATGGGGACACGAGACAGACAACTGCCTCAGCAGCAGACAGACAGACATGGGGCAAATGGACAGAGACAGAGCCAGTGCTTGTACTGTTCATGAACACAACTGCTGACAAACAAATATACAGGAACGTTTAATTGAAGAAGCAAAGAAGAGGAAAGGCGTGAACCTTTAAGACCCAGCCCTGGGCTGCGGTGGCGACACACAGCACAGTCCACACAGACAGCGGGGTAACTGGCCTGGACTTCTACAGCAGCTCTGAACACAGTGGGTGTAAAGCAACAATAGACATACTGGCCACTGGAAACATGTTCTTCTTACATGGGGAGGGAAGGGGGCAGAGACTGAAACACACCAGCCCCTGCCTGGTAGGTGAGGTGCCATCACACTACACACGCAGTATCTCCAGGCAGTTGTTGTAGCAAATGGCGATCCAGTCAGGCTGAGTGGAGGCCCACTGCACATTGTTGATCTCTCCCTCAGCTGTGTAGGCCAAGATTGGGTCCTCAATGGCCCGAGGCATCTGCTGGATGTCCCAGATGAGGGCCTGATGGTCATCCGCTGGGAAAAAGCAAACAAGAACGTCATAGCTCAGGCGATGAGGTAACAATCTTGCATTTGGAAAGGCAGTCACAATTTGCAAAGCATTTGCTTGCCAAAACTTTGTGAAGGGGGCTTTATTTTAGAGAAGAGGAAACCAAGAATTAGCAGTGTCACCAGACTTGCTCCCTTCCTCATGCCATGTAGCCAGTGAGGACCAAATCTAGGTCCTTATTCCACATCCCAGGGGCCCTTAGCGCCATTGACTGCACCCAGGGTTCAAGAATTAGATCAGGACACTGGAGTCAGGAACCAGGAAGGACATGAGATACAATGATCCCAAAATATGATGTCACTTTCAGCCACTAAAAATACTTGAGTGGATAAAGATGCTTCTCTGATGACTGTTTCCCAGTTTATGGACATTTACATTTCAGTGAGTTGTACAGATGATTGACATAAAGTACTAGATAGACATACATTAAAAAAATTCCATCTATGCCTGTAATCCCAACAATAGGGACTGGGAACACAGCTAAGTGACAGAGTACCTCTTAGCATGTTCAGAGTCCTAGGTCCAATCCCCAGTACCATCAGAAAATAGACAAAAAAAAACTGAACTATTGCCAGTTAATATGTTTTGCTAGGTATGGTGGCGCATGACTGTAATCTGAGCACTTTGGAGACAGAGGCAGGTGGATTGCTGTCATTTGGAGCCCAGCCTTACAAATACAGCAAGTCACTGCCTGTCAGCATTATACAGCAAGACCCTGTCTCAACAAAATAAATAACAAAGATAGAACAAAACCTTAAGACCTCGATGCCACCTCCACCATGGTCACCTGACCCTGATGCTTCCCCCCCACCATGGTCACCTGACCCTAATGCTTCCCCTCACCATGGTCACCTGACCCTGATGCTTCCCCCCCACCATGGTCACCTGACCCTGATGCTTCCCTTCACCATGGTTACCTGCAGTGCAGATGTGGCAGGACGAGTGTGGGGCCCAGGCAATACCATTGACGCATGCTCGGTGGTTGTTTAGCCTAGCAACCGGTGTGCAGGGAACTCGAACATCCAGAATCACCACCTGCAGAAATACACAAGAAAAAGGCTCAATAATTGCAGAGTACAGCAGGAAAAACACTATCATACACACGAAACTGTAAGCATGCTCTTTTCATTTGTGGATCCAAGAATACTAGGATAGGATTTCCTGATGGAGAAAAGAAGAAAAACAATGAGCAAACAGAGACCATGTGTTCTCCGTGCTGACAGACTGGGAGAGTCAAGGAGAAGGGGAAGCAGAACAGGCAACATGAGTTTGGATGATCCACAAGCATCTTTGCTAAGGGCCTAAAAAAAAAAACCAAAACAACCTGTGCATCTAAGTTAGGCAGAATGTGCCTTACCAATGCAGAACAGGATGTAAGAAGTCTGAGGCATGAGCTGCACCCAAACCAACGCTGACTACTGTATCCTCTCAACCAACAATCCACCCCTCTCATAAGAATTAGCAAACTGCAGAGCTTCTGTCTGTACATCTGCCTGCAACAGCAGGAGAGTCTGCTGGAACACCAAGAGGGAAGGCCTACTTCCCCATTCCGTCCCAGTAACTGTGACTTGGTTAAATTCTAGTCATTTAGATATCACTTAGATATCACTAACCCTTTTTTCTTTATTGTGAAATGTTTATTTGCATTTTTAAAACTAGTTATACAACTAACTCATGACAAATTACCAGATGGATTTAATATTATTTCTTCAGGACTAGTTTTTCAGTGACTTCAGACTTGAAGCTAGGAAGCACATGATACATTTGCTTAAGCTCAAAAGCCTCGTGCACACTCTGGGCCAGTAAAGCAAGTCCTTCCTATGCCTGTGGCTTTGACTTGGACTCTTATCTCGTGCATGAAGTTTCTGTATAGGACCAGCTTCCGTATTAAACACCACGTTTCCAAACAGAGAGACTGTGAGCAAAGGACAGGAGTGAGCTTGAAGAACCTCAACAATCATGGCAACTGTGGTATCATCTGCACTGAGGAGGCCCCAGCTGCAGACCCACCACCACTCTTCTGCTTGTCTTAGCTTCACTCTAGCAGAGATTTACTTACTTACTTTCTTATTCTTTTTGAAGGTATCTCTATGTGGCCTTGTTGTCCCAGAACTCACTCTGTAGACCAGGCTGGCCTCAAAGTCACAGAGGTCTGCCTGCCTCTGTCTTCCAAGTGCTGGGATTAAAGCTGTGTACTAACATGGCCAGCAAAGGTTTATTGGATTTTGTGTGTGTATGCATTCAGGTTTTTTGTTTGTTGTTACTTTTTTTTTGTACTGGGGCTGGAACTCAGCCTTGAGTATGCTAGACAAGCACTCTGTCACTAAGCCACATCCCACCATATCAGAGATCCTTACACAGAAGGGAGTGCAATTGCAGTGAGTTTACAGCTACCCTAGGATGCACAGTAAGTTCCAAGCTCATCTGGGCTACAGAGACTCCATCTCACCAAACCAGAAGGTTCTGAACATAGTCCTTTTGTGATGGTATCCTCAATCTAGGCCCCACTGGCACTTGGAGTGGACTGACACTGCTGGGCTCTTTGTATACTGCAGATAAGTAACAGCCTCCTTGGTCATTATGCACATGACGCCAGGAAGACTCCACACTCTAACTCTTGACAGTCAAAAACGTCTCTCTGTATTTCCAAAGATATCCTGGGTACAAACCTGCCACCATCTGAGAGCTACTCTTGCAAGTATACTGGGCAGAGTGGAGTCCAGGGACAAGGCCACCAAGGCTTACCTCCATTCCATCCATGGCCATGGTGGCCAGGTAGTTAGGGTCCTGCTTGTTCCAGCAGAGGCGAAGCAGGGGGTGGTGCTGTGGGTCTTCATAAATGATGGTGCTGTGTTCCAGATGGCGGAGGTCAAACATTCGCACAGAACCATCAGCACCCACAGAGGCAAACATGTCCCTGCCACCTCCAGCTCGGCTGAATGCGATATCGTAGACCTGTGGGTGAGAAGCTTTAGGTTCGGATCAGTCATCTCCTTTCCCACAGCACAGACATCTGCCATTTCCAGACCATCTGAACCCCAACTCATGACACAAAAGCAGGGAAGCTAGTGGCTTCTCAGAGAATAAAGATCATTCTACCATAGATACTGGCTGACTTCTTCCCATGTCCTGCTTTCTACTTTTCCTCTTAAAACCGTGAGATAAAACAGAAACGACATTACCTAGCTGACTAGCACAGCACACGTGAGTCTGAACAGGACTCTGTATTTCTGGCTGTTAGTGGTTTCAATTACATGCAGTCAGATGCAGAAGATTCATGATAAAACCACATATGGCTCTACCAAGCTGGTTCAGCTATAAAACATGACCTGAGATCCATTTGTATGAAAAAGGTAACATGACTTTTGGGTTTTTGTTTTTAAGAGGGCAGCTGGGAGCTGGAAGTATGGTTTAGTGGGTAAGAGTACTTGCTGCTCTTGTAGAAGACCCAGGTTCAGCTATAAGTGATCTGTAATAAGTGATCTGTAACTCCGGAACGGAAGATCTGACACCTACCCACTTCTGGCCTTCTCATACTATGCACACATGGTACAAGGACTTATATGCAGGCAAAACACCCACACACATAAAATAAAAATAAATAAATCTTAAAAAACAAAACCTCATGTGGCCCAGGCTGACCTCAAACTTGCTATGTGGTAAGGGCTATGGAGTGAGTGTGTGAGTGTGTGTGTGTGTGTGTGTGTATCCTTATGTAGCAGAACAGCACTAGACAAAGCCTTTGTCTACCTGGTATGTCAGGCCTGAGAAGACAGGTCTTGTCACGTGGCTCAGGCTGCTTTATCTTTACCTCCTATGCACTAGAATTACCTGATCCCCTTTTACTCACTCTTTTCTTTTCCTGTTGTTTTAAGACAGGGTCTCATATAGCCTAGGTTAGCTTTAAACTTGCTATGATATAGCCTGTGATGACCCAGAACTCTTGATCCTCCTGCATCTGCCACTCAAGTGATAGGAGTACAGACATGTGTCACTATACCTGGCCCTTTAGAATCAGTCAATCTTACATAGAGTATTTTTTTTTATGGTCAGAGGAAAAGGAGTTGGCATATTGATCAGAAATAGATGGGTATCTACTAGCAGTATTTGTCCCTGAGTATCCAGAGCGACCAGATGACCTATTTTTTTTTTTTTAATTTAGATTTGTATTTTATCTGTATGACTGTTTTGGCTCCTTGTATGTATGGAGACTGCATGAATAGCTGGCATCTAAAGAGGTCAGAAGAGGGCCTAGGATTCGCTGGGACTGGAGTTATAGACGGTTGTGAGCTGCTGATGACCTTAAGATACCTTTTTTCCCCTTATACAAATACTGATCCTACTCCCTGTGCAGGTAAAGGGGTAGCACAGGAACTAAGACAAGGACCCAGGCGCTGTGGAAGCACAGCTAAGCCTGCTTCCCAAATCATCAGAGGATGCTCCCCTCAGCTTTTCTGGTAAGCACCAGAAAATAAGATATATTTGCCTCCTATCAGGACTCAAAGTAGAAAGATTAAGTAAACATACTAGAGTTCACAGACCGGTTTCAGAGAAAAGAGGTTAATTAGGATTGTCTGTCATGAAATTTTCCTCCTTCCTGTTTCTCCCCACCTCTGAGAAGCCATTACATTTAGAGAGAAGTGTTACTCTAAAATTATTCTTAAATCTCACCAGCTCCTAGGATATCTTATAAGAGACTTCATTAGAAAAAACTCCAGCAAACTCTGATACCAAAGGAGAAATGAGAGGCTGTAGGTTAGGTCGTTAGTGTCATTTAATGATTCTTGGGGGTGGGGGGAGTGAGGTAGCTCAGTCACAGGGTAAAAGCACTTGCTGTACACACCTGACAACCTGAGGAGCTCACCCCTTGGGAACTGCAGGGGGAGGAAACATCTGACTCCTTAACACATGCACCATGGTACACATGTGCCTGCACATACACACACTTTCTCTCTCTCATAATAATAGTAATAAATAAAACATAATTTAAAAGGTGCATTCAGTGATGTGATGTGATGTATTTTAACACATTGTAATTTATATGCCAACATTATGATCCACACGGCCTGCAACACAGTGTGAGAGCAGTGTGTCCTCTCACCTGCAGGTACAGATAGCACAGGAAAAACATCATTACCTCTTTGTCATGGGCAATTAGCTGGGTCTTCACATGGCCAGACACCAGATTCACTCGTCCCAGCACCTGCCCAGTCTCTAGTCCCCAGATGGTGCATGTCGTGTCAATGCTTGAGGTACCTGCAGACACCAGAGCAAGTCAGTGCTGATGAGGCAGGTCTATACACTCCCGAGGGACAACAGGCCACAAACACTTCCTGAACAATTACTTTTGTTCTTTGTGTGGTGGGGAGGGGAGTTTCTTGAGACACAGTACCCTTGTGTAGTTCAGCCTGACCTTGAACTCAAGATCCTCCATTCTGTACTCCGAAGTGCTGGTATTGGTGTGTACCACCACACCTGTAAAACCTTAGGTTTTAGTCGAAGAGATGTGATAGACAGCTTCTTTTAGAAGAGCTGTGACAGACACACAGGGAAAGCTAAGCTCCCTATGAGAAAGTAATAACTACTTTCCATATTTAGCCCATTTCACCCCTGGCCTGTTTTTAGGATGAGGTATGTGCCTCAAACCCCTGGATAAAAACTCTCAAGAGCCGAATCTGAGGAAATATATCTTCATTTTCCTCAAGCTGGAATTCAAAGTCCTCACCTAGAAGATAAGGATCCACCTCGTTCCAGTCAAAGGAGGTCAGGGGAGCACAGAAATCTGAGTTCTTGTTATTATTTAGCAAGCACTCCAGCCTGGTCTCTGTTTCACCAACCTGAAGAAACAACAATTTAAAACATTAGCCAGCCTACATGTACCACCCCTACTTAAAATCCTATTTAGTAAATCTAAGAACAGAGGAGAAAATATTCTTATGATAAAAGGTAATAAAGCCCAAAGGAACTCCTGAACTTGGACTTCTTTCACAACTTCCCCCTTCCCAGCTTTACTCTCCAGGCTTTCACCCAGGCCTCTTTCTAGAGCTCTTGGCGGCCCGTCTGCGGAGGCCCTAGACTCCCAAGCATAAGGAAGGGGTGCTCCTGATGCTGAGAGCAGCTGAGAAGGGAAGATCTACACGCATAATGCATCAGAATCAATATCCTGGGATTTATTTACTCAAAAATATCTTGATTATTAATGGAGTAGGAGGTCCTAAGTGTTCTCTGCCTCACAGAAGTCCTGTCCCCATCAGCAGCAAGACTCTATGGCACTTGGGCTACATTTCCTAGAAAACCCACTGAGCTGAAACAAGGTCAGGCCACAGCCACTTCCTTTGCTTCCTCCATGTGGCAATGATACTAGCTGTCTGCTCTTCAGGACTGCACATTGCTGACAGCTGATCCCAAGGAAGCATGTCTGGCTACCTGCCAATAAAGCATCAGCTTACCCTCCACACACGGAGATAGTCGCCACTTGTTGCCAGAAGGTCTGGATAGACGCCTTTTGTGTCAGGAATCCACATGAGCTTTGTGGTAGGGTACGGGTGGTCAAAGGTGTTTCGGCAAATGAACTCTGAACTTTCCTCATCTAAACCAACAAGCTGAACCTGCAAACAACACAACTGAACCACGTGAGAGTTTGTTTTCCTTGAGCAGTATCAAATATATCAGATTCCTGGTCAGTCTTGACAGTGTACTACACTGAAGTGCACAGTCAAGTTATTATGGTGAAGGACCCCTAAACTTCTGATCCTAGCACTAGATAAAAACTCAAGAATCACAGGGTTCAGTATAGTCAACTCCACAAAGATAGAAGATCTGAATACAGGTTTTCTGACTCTAAGTCCTAAGCGAACTTCCTTCTCCCTCTTCTGTTCTGAGACCGTCTGATCATTCTGCCTCTCCTCCCAAGTACAGGAATGTACAATCACAGCCTATTTAATTAAGTGCTGGGAACTGAACCAAGGCTTCATATATGCTAGGCCAGTATTCTACCAACTGAGCTACATTCCCAGCCCCCATTTTTGTTTCTTGAGTCAGGCTGGCCTTGAACTCACAGATACTCTCCTATTTCTGCCTCCCGAGTGCATGGATTAAAGGCTTGTGCCATCATACCCAGCACCATTCTGAGTTTTAGCCAATTAAGGACACATATTTGGCATTACAGTGTTGTGAAGAGTATTTTTACTCTACTTAAAAGGTTCTTCTGAGACAAGGCTTCAGAGAGTCCATACCCCCCTCGAGCTCACCGTGCACACAGGGCTCGTCTCTGCCTTCCGAGGGTTTGCTCTATTTATTGGGTCCAGTGATTTTCCCATTGAGTTTTGGTTCTCTGTAAACCTTTGCTCTTCTACACTGTGTTTCTGTGTGAATTTTAAGAGCATCTCTTTAAGACGTACGAAAAGCTGATGAGGTTCTGACTCCAACTGTCTTGAATCTATGGGTCAGTTTGGGAAGAACTGCTAACTCAACAATATTGAATTTAGTTATTTAGGTCACCTTTAGTTTGTTCCAGCAACACTTTAAAGTTTTGTGGGTACAGATCTTCAACTGTCTCACTAACTTTGTTTCTATGTAGCTGTATGTTACTACAAATATATTTTTTAGGGTTTTATTTGTATTTTTCCCTTCACTACCTAGCATGATTTTTAAATTCCATTTTCAACTGTTTATTTCTATTATGTAGAAATAGTTTATCTTTTATATTAATTTTAGATCGTTAACTTTGATACAATAGTTATTGTACATTTGTAAGGGATTGTCAGTGTGTATCCATACACTTAGTCATCAACAGATTTTCTAGAAGTTAGGCATAGATGTGCAAGGTCTATAAGTGTGTAGGGGAATTAAGGATTACGGATGAAAAGGAGACAGAACCCCGTGTTCTGAGACACTTCAGAGCAATAAAAGTAAAGCAAAGGCTAATATACTAATATGCTGCTGCTGCCACCGCTGCCGCTGCTGCTGCTGCTGCTGCTCCTCCTCCTCCTCCTTCTCTTCCTCCTCCTCTTTTTGGTTTTTTGAACAAGTGAGAAAGTGACCTTAAGATCCCAGCAGTCTTCCTTCCAGGTGTAAGTGGAAGGACACAGGTAGCAGATAACTTCAAAGTGAAACTGGGAAAGGGGTTTACACTCACTTCTGAAAGTTGTCTGTCATCATAAAACACTTTTTTCCAAACCCCAAATATCAGAGCCTGTGAACGTCTCCTACTTAATTAAGGTCATCTAGACCCAACAGTCAAGGGTGACAAGGGTGACTGCCACCCAATGCTAGCTAACCTACCTTATCTTCCATTTCTTCTTCTGATCACCGTTTCTCACCTTCTCCCTTTCCTTACACATCTTTCCAAATTTGTAAATTATGCCTACACCCTTTCCATCAACCTCAACCCTGATTAATATTAACATATCAGCGACGTCAGGCTTCCAGGACTCTTCTATTCACTAGCTGCAGGACCTTAGCTGTGCCACTTACTGTTGTTAGTCCTGTTCCCAACCTGTAGATGTTCACGACACCTACTCTTAATAACGGTGTAAACTGCCTTTCCCAATGTATGAGCTTCAACATTCTATCTGACTTCTTCCACAAAGCACTAGCAGTTTTCCTGGTTTTGTGTCTTTCGGTCATTACCAGTACCATGCATTTGACAGTTACTCCTATAGTGCCTCATGAGACGCTGACATTACTGTTTTGTATAGTTTCACTTAGTAAGTGTCCTAATGACAGGGCTTGTGTTTTTCTTTTTATACAGTTGGCTACTGTTTCCAAATCCAGCTTTCTTGTGCCTATTCCTAATATTCCCTGAGTTTGGATACTATACTGTTGTCATTATTTCTGGTACCCAAGTCCTAAGAGTAGGATTTCTGTATTAGAAAGATATGTGTGGTAATGGTGTTTGAACTCAAAGCCACACAAGTGTTCTGCCTTTGAGATATATCCCCAGCTTTAAATTTTAAAGAAATGTTCCAGTTTATTCTAGCATAGTGCATATCTAGACAACTGGAGGCTCCAAATAGAGACCTCATTGGGAGAGTTATCTACCTACCCAGAACTCCAATTTGTAGGCACCCCATGACTACAGGTCCACCACAAGCTCTCCTTACATCAGATGTTTGCCAACGGTGGCTCTATATTGTTACAAAGAACTTTAAGAATATCCCAATGCCCAAGCACTATGCAGAGCAATGAAATGAGAACCTGTAGTAATGAAACAAATAAGCATTATATCTGCAAGAGCACCCAGTGGTCCAGGCACAGCCAAGATTGAGCACACTGTGCTAGCTTTGCCACATCAGGCTAGATGACTGAGCCAACCAAATCCACTTCTAGGAATGTAGGACCATAATCCTACTTAGTCTCAGTTCTTTGTTTAGAAGGGAAAATGGGAAAGGCCAGACCCACTGTTGCATGGAGATTCAGGAAAAGCAGCAACAGAGCGAGAAGACTGAAGAGGGTGCAGGACTTGAGACCTGCAGGGGGTGAGAACAGCTTCCCACTGTCTGATTTGTCCCCTGAGGCCTGACACTCATCTTGCTCAGGTCTCCACCTTGTCTGAATGAATCCTTCTCTTACCCAAAAATATTTTTTTTCTTCATCTTATGTGTATGGCTGTTTTATCTGCATGTATGTCTGTGTGCCACTTGCATGCCTTGTGCTGGAAGAGGCTAGGAAAAATATCAGAGCCCTGGACTTACAGTTAGTTCCCTGACACCATGTGGGTGCTTGGAACTGAACCTGGGTCCTCTGCAAGAGCAGCCAGTGCTTTTAGGCACTGAGCCATCTCTCCAGCTCCCACCCCTCAAAACTATCTTGAGTAGGTTCCTGTTTCTAAAAATAGTGACAGTCTCTCTGAGGACAGAATCAAGCCACACTAGCCTTCACATGTCTTAAGATAAAAATTTATGGGTAGGAGATATGGCTCAGTCAGTAAAAGACTTGTCTCACCAGCATGAGACTCTGAGTATAATTCTCCCAGAAACTAAGTTTAAAAGCCTGATGTGGGCACACCTGTAATCTCATCTTTGGGGAGCTGGGGACAGAAGAATCCCTAGGGCATGTTTGTCAGCTGAATTCAAGCTCCAGGCCCAAAAATTAGATGGAAGAGCAACTGAAAAAGACAGTTGTCACTAACCTTTGGCCTCCAAGGTAATGCATGGACACACACGCAATGCACAGAGTATTTCTTTTAAAAAATATATTAAAGCACCTTGGAGTTTAAGAGAACTGATAATCAACTGTAAGAACTTTCTACTGCTATACTTTAAAGGAAACACAATTTTTCCAAAGCACCTTAAGCTCCTACCCTCTATGGGCTGTCTCTATTCCAAGACATAACAAAGGATGAGGGGGGGATGCTCCAGAGCAAACACTCAATCAGAAAGGGTGCCAGACTCAGACTAATCATGGGCTTAAAAAGAACAGCAGCTTTCAGTATAACAGGTTTATCTGTAACCTTCCCCAGAAGGTTGCATCTTCTTCAACGTTTCAAGATTCTGTTACTCAGGTGATTTAAGAAACCTACTTTCACGTTCCAAACGTCTTTGTAGGAATTTGTGTTTAGCCCTCAGTCAACTGACTTTGACATGCTCAAAGCTTATGTCCTGATAACCAGATGCTAACATTTTATGATAGAAAGAGACTGTTAAGTGGTCAGTGAGTGTTCACAGTACAGAGTTAGATTGTAGAGCTCACATTAGTTCTACTCCTGAGCATACTTACTAATCTTGGCAAATTCTTACTAAACTCTACAATGACTGGGTATCTTTCCAAATTATTTTTCCATGTATTATTTCTCTGTTTGTTAGAGGTACTTATGGTGGGTTCTTTATAACAAAAACAAACAAAAAAATCCAAAATATAGACTTTCCATATAATTTATTCCACAACTTGCTTTGAATAAGAATGTCTTCTCGGGCTGGAGAGATGGCTCAGCGGTTAAGAGCACCGACTGCTCTTCCAGAGGTCCTGAGTTCAATTCCCAGCAACCACATGGTGGCTCACAACCATCTGTAATGTGATCCAATGACCTCTCCTGGTGTGTCTGAAGACAGCAATGGTGTACTCACATACATAAAATAAATAAATAAATCTTAAAAAAAAAAAAAAAAAAAAGAATGTCTTCTCAAGTCAATATAAACGGTTCCACCTTGTTCTTCTACAGCAGACTGTGGTAAGCATAACTCAATTTATTTAACTGTTCACTTATTTTGGTTATATAGTCCATTGTCTTACTGCTACCAACAGTGCTACAATGAATACCCTTATTTAATTTTTTTTTTTACAAACATAAAAATATGGAACGCTTCACGAATTTTCGTGTCATCCTTGCACAGGGGCCATGCTAATCTTCTCTGTATCATTCCAATTTTAGTATATGTGCTGCCGAAGCGAGCACCCCTTATTTAATTATCTTTGTATTTATGTGTTAAAGGCTTTTATTGGATCCACTCCTAAAGATGTAACTGCTCTGTCACATTTTAAATTCTTTCTTGCGTAATGTGTGTGTAAATGTTCATATGTATGCGTGCATGCATGTACAGGCCAGATGCCAACATCAAGTGTCTTCCTCAATCATTCTCCATCTTATTTTTTGAGACAGCATCTCTCA